CATAATTTTGATTAATTCCTTTTATTGTTTCTCGAAGGAAACAAAGAAATAGAAAGTTCGCTACAAATTAATTTAAACTCACTTCCATGATTTGCAGAAAACTGTATAGGCTAACTAAATAATGAATTAAAATATTTAATAATATCAAATATTCCTACTTTTATATTAATCCGAAAATAATTATCTGCAGTGTTTTTATAGAAACAAAAAAATGTGAATTTTCGTAGAATGCATACTGTTTGACATATTTTCTTTTTTTTTTTATATAATTTTTTATTTTTCTTTGTGTAATTCCATCAAAAACTTGCAGTAAAAAATTGTTTTATTAAATATCTTTTTTATATTTAGAAATATTGTCATAATAATTTACTTAACGGATTTATTTTATTTGTAATATTTCTTTTTTGGTTTTTACTTTTTTCAGAAAACTATGAGTAAATCCGTATCCGTAATGTTCTCAAATACTATAATAATATAGTAATAATAGTGATTTTTAATTAGTATGTAAAGATATTCCAGGTAATTGTTTATGTAAACAAATAAGGTTACTATTCCCGGATTAATGTCTAGCATTGTTTTATAAAGGCTATAACTTATCTATGTTCTTCTATCTTCTAAGAAAATATTACTTGGATTTTGTAAAAAAAATTTTGCAGATAAGAAGATATGATGCATGTTCTATAAAAAAGTTAAATTTTGATATATAGATTTGCAAAAGTTATTCCAGAAATTAATGATTAAGACCTGTCTGTTCTTAGAAGCCAGTGCTTAAATGTCAAAGAAACTTCTTTGCTCTGAGTAATCAACTCATAAGATGTAAGATATTCGATTAAACTTGAAGTTTATTTATGTTGCTCATGATAAAAAAATTCTACTAAGATAAAAGATAAGAATAATTATATTGCAAATTAAGGAATTATTTTACATTATTTATAATTTATAATTTTTCATATCTGTTTGATGCATATATTTAAATTTCACGAACACGCAAATATGTGAGAACTTTTGTAAAATCATTTTTATAACAAACTCGCTGTTATATAAATCGTTAAATTTAATAATATGGTGCAATAGCTATAAAATCGTAATAACTAAACATTGCGCAACAACTGTAGCGATCTTTCGCAAACGTTAATTTCCAAACAATTCGTTGGATGGGAGTGCACTTGATTCCTTTCTTGCTGCACAGCTGTGACCGCAGTCATCATTCAATCTCTCGGTATCATTTTATACTTGGCTGGCAGTAACGGTGACTTCTGTTTAGAGTTCTCCGTACGTGTCGTAATTCGCTCAGCAAAACGTCGATACGCATGCGGTTATCATCGTCACGGTTTTCGCACCTCACAGTTTTCCGCATTACTCCAAGTACACAAAGTTAGAGAAACCAAGTTCGTTTCGAGATAATGTATTCTCATTAACGTGTGCATCATTCACTACTTATATTAAATAAGAATTGCGAAATCATAATTGGGCCTTTCAATTATGGATCAGTTGCGTGAGGAATCTCTCTTATATTCTATGAAATTTTCATGCCATACTGAGAACAATTTTTGACGAAAAATGAACGAATCAGAAAAGTCTGAGCACATCAGTCAGACTTTTGATTATTTTAATTTGAATTATAATTATAAAAATTCAACCAGAAAATTCTGTTCTCCATTTTTTTACTAGAATTTTCCTTAATATTATATAACCAGACTGTTTTTCTAATATAATGAATAAATCCCACAAATTTAACATATACATACTCCAATTTCAGTTTAGGACTGTCTTAATTTTTTTTTTTTACTTTCAAGAACGACAAATAAATTGTACGTAATTTGTATGAACTAAAAGTTATAAAAATTTATGCAAAAATATTATTAGGCACTAAAATCTGTTTTGATCGAATGTGGCTCTCTTCCACATTTATTTGTATTATTCAATATCTACGTATATTATTAAATACATCTTTTTTTCATTTTTTTTTTTCATATTTAGTACACAAGTATATTTATCTCATTTGAAGTATTTAGAATGTAAAATCAAGCGTCAATTCTTTAAGTTCAGACATTTCGTGATTTCGTTTGAATGGATAAGCTTGCTTCATTGTCCGCACAAATCTGCATTGACTCACGTTCAACAATTAAAAGAGTAATTGTTCTACGTAGTGAAATCTCGCTTTCAGCGTATGGTAATTGTAGGTCTCAACTTTCATTGTGCATTCACAGTTGAGTGCTATTACCTGATTCTCAATTCTGTTCGTTCAAGACAAAAGAAAAGCAAGATTAAGGAAATAGCCTTCTATCTAATCACGATATGAAAAAACAATAATAAGATTTTGTGCACAGTACCAAAAACTAAACAAGTCTAAAGATTTATTTATTGTTATTTTATTATTTATGATTATTTTTATTATTAAAAAAATTTTTTTATTATTTTTTAAATGAATCTTCAAAATATATATTAATCAAAGCTTAAAACTTTGTATTTCTTAATAAGAAATTATTATACTTTTGTAATAAACGTTTCAAGATGAGAAGTATTTTGTTTCCTAAAAATTTAACTCTTTAGAGATACTTGGGTTTTACGAAAAACTTTTTAGTTATTATATAAAATTTAAGAGTTTTTAAAAAATCAGATCTAAAAAGTTAAATTATTATATAAAACTGAAATTCATATTAAAATACTAACAAATACACAAACTCCACGAACAGACATATACACGTATTATTCTTGCATACATCAGTCTTCGTATCTTTAGAGAGCACTGCTTCTCATCTTATTACGACCTCGCTCGTGTGTGTTCTTGCGCGTGTCGTATTCTTCGCTGCAGGAGAACGCATCTTGCAGTGTGCGTAACACGCGCTTCCTCCTAGCCATAGTAGATAGGTAAATAGGGGCTCACAATCGAGAACTGTTCTTAACATGCACGAAAAGAAAGGGACGGATCCGCAAGTACGGCAACCATAAATTTCCTTCCTCTAACCGATTGATAATTACATCTTCCGCAGACGCGATTCTTGATGGCGGCCGTGATCGGTAGAACGCGGAAGTCGAGGTTGTACTCTACACGCACGAAGGCGTCGAGGAAATGCAGGGCCATTACCCCACGCTGTATGTCACTGTTGCTCCTGCCGGCGTCATTTCTTCTCTAATGCTTAGCAATACTGTAACGCGTCTGCCCACGTAATGTCAAGGATAGAAGGCGGCTCACTAATATCATTTCGAACGTGGGAGTTGCAATTAAGAAAGCGAGTACTTTTTTTTATGACAGTCAACACTAATGTAGATTCTAGTTTTCGTTATTTATAGATACACTTATTAATAACCTCTATGTAAAATATTCTACTTTCTCAAAGTTGAATATCCTCCTTCTTGTAAGGTATAAAATAATTTCTGAGTAAAAAACAAATTTCTCCTGTAACATAAATTTTCTTGGAAGGTGAATTACGATGCCGTTTTTCCCCTGTAAATAACGTGCTATAAGAGTGGCTTTCTTCGAACTCGTACGACAGATTTCTTCGAGTACAATACACGCACTGCGAGATGAAAAACGTCACGCATTTCTGCTATTCGATACAATCTCGCGATTCGATTTGGTCACGTTGTGCCATTTTCACATATAGATCGGCTTCTGTGAACTCCTGAAATGGAATCTGATTTCTAACGGCGTTTCACTCGGCGGAAAACGCATTTCGACGATGTATCGGCCGGCTGCGATTGCAGAGGTTGCCGGTAGTACCGGTCGCGGTTCGCCTGTACACCATACTCCTTTCTTTTGTACAACGACTAAAAAGAATGTAGCAGTAGACGGCAGATAGTCGCATTTGAGTGGAGACTAAACGCCTTCGGATCTTGTATCCTGCTCACGCGATTGCCGTTTCCTATCTGCACGCTCGTTTGCATGCGCCGATTGTAACTTTTCGTGTAATGGTTCGATGAACTCCGACACTATTCTATTATATACGACGACTCTGATTATATTTCTCGATCAATAGCAGAAACTTTTTTACTTTAATACTCGTATTCTAATTCTTTTCTATATGCTAGAGAATTTTTACTTATTTGTGCCTATAATAGAAATTATTATTACGAGGCACTGATTTTATTTATTGTCATTAAAACAATAATAAAATTCATTATTTGATTTATCACCTTAATATTTCGATATAAATAATAATCTGTTGTTTTTTTATTACTACGTTCAATTTTAAATTGATTTTTTAATTTTATTTTATTTGTCTTATTGTTTTGCTTTTTGTTGCTATGACTTTTAGATAAAATATGAGGTCGATTACAGGTGACGATGTGGGCGATTTTATTATTGTTGGTCTCCACGTGGTCTTCGTCATGGGGTCAAGTGATAAACAGGGCGCCCCACTTTATCCAAGGTGGAGACATGGCCAGGTTGGCTGTGTCAGAAGGTACACCGCCTGATGTCCCCGTTTATACTCTCCGTGGAGAGGATCCTGAAGAATCTAGATTGCACTACTCTATCAGCGGCGAATACTTCACCGTGAACAGGGAGACCGGAGTGGTAATCCTGAGAAAAGCCTTAGATAGAGAAACACAAGATCTCATCGAAGTCATTATTAGCATAACAGGTAAAACTGTGTACATATATCTGTTAATGTGTAACTTCGATTTTTATATAAGCTATCTTTATGAAATAAAAAATAAAAAAATTTACTGTATATTTTCTAATCTATACAGATATCTTCAATGTTTACATATCATTTCAAAGAATTATTTTTAAAATTGATAGAAAATTATTGTTTAATTAAATAATATCGACAAAAAAATATTTTTAACAAATTAAATATCGTTTTTGTTCTTTTCATTTAACAATCTTAAAGAAAATCATCCTCTTTAAGTCATAAAAAACGTTTTGACGATTTTTTTTTTAAATTAAGTTAGTTCACTTTTGATGATTGATAGGGTTTACCTAACTTATTTATGACCCGAAAATCATATTTTTTAGTTGTGTCACTTGAAGTACAAGAGCGAAATGTATAATTGAATATTCGTATTGATGTACATTGACTGAAATAATAAAATATTTATTTTGTCAAGTCGTAATGAGAAAAAAATTGATTCAGTTTACTGAATAAATTTGCCCGTTTCAGACGAAGGTATCGCTGGATCGGAACCTAACACGGTGTCTCTTCGTCGCGAAATAGCGGTGCTCGACGAAAACGATAATCCACCGGTTTATCACAACCGACCGTACGCAGCCAGGGTGCCGGAAAATGCGCAAGTGGGTAGCTTGTTACCTCCTTCGGGCACGATTATTATCACGGATCGCGACGGTGGAGTGAACGCCGACGTTCACGTACAATGCGTCTCGGCGTCGCGCGACGACGACGTCTGCGAGGTCTTCGACATCTCCACGGAGAAGGTATATAAGTAATAAACTTTAGTATAATTATTTAAAAAAATTTAAGTAATCCATATAATGTAGAATATTTGCAACTTTGCAATGTTACTGCAATATTCCTGGAATGACCTGTGCTGTATGAGAAATAATTAAATTATGAAATTAAATTATTTAAATTAAATTAAAAGTAAAAATATAAATACTTCTGGAGTACATATTATTTTTTTTAGTTAATATAGTAACTGTTTCTCTTTTATCTTAAAGCCATCTTATAGAAATGGATGAGAACTAGTTTATTGAGATAATCGCGACGAGTTGTTGTAGATTGCTGAAGGAGAATACGACGTGCTGATCACGTTAGCGAAACCGTTAGATTACGAGAGGAGAAATTCTTATTTGATTAATTTGCTGGCTGTCGACGGAGCCAGCGATCCGTCGAAGAGGTTGCAGGCCAGAGCGACCGTTGCCGTTGACGTTCTCGACGTTCAGGTAAGTAGGTCTTGATCATTATTGAAATAATTATGTATAAAATCGGCGATAATCCTACATTGGATAATAACGTCATTTACAATAAAATTAGCAGAGAATCATCAACCTGTTATTCAATCTCTGCCTGTCAGCGCAAGCGTTATGAAGTGAAGATTCATCTTCGTCACGCATAGGGTTTAATCGTTGAAGTAATGAATGTATTATAGTCTTATTTTTATCACACATTCGTTGCTACATATTCTTTACTAAATATTGTGTAAATTCCACACCTTTAGATATTATTTTTAATTTCATTTTTTATTTAATACTTTTTAGTATGCATATAACTCTATTTATTATAACTTATTATAATTTTATTATATACACACTTTTACTTTTTATTATAATAATAGTACAAAATAAAATTGTGAAACTCGTTATCTCAGTAACCGAGAAATTACGATTTAGTTTATGCAAACGCACGATTTACTTTTTAATAGAAACAGTCATTTATACTAAATAAGCGAAATATAGAAATAAAAGATTTATAGAAACACAGAGAAATAAGGAGATTTCTAAATAATTCATTAAAGATCTATATCATAAACTTTTGCACATATTTTTTTGCAGGATCAGCCACCTGTTTTCCTGAACGCGCCTTACAGTGCGGCACTTCCGGAGAACACCGCAGCTAGTCACACGGTTTTAATGGTGAGAGCACGTGACGGTGATACCGGTGAATCGAGAAATCTGTTATTGACGCTGGAAGACGATGATGCGGGGCACTTCGATCTTGAGATGTCTCACGATGGTGATGTCACGGTTGGCAGATTGGTCACAACCAATGTGTCCCTCGACCGTGAAGATCCCAGGATTCTGCAAAATGGCGGCATTTACACCTTCCAAGTTAAAGCCACCGAGCTGATCAACAATGAAATACCAGCCGATACCGCGACATCAATTGTGACAATTGTCGTCACGGACGTGGATGACCTCGAGCCCGTTTTCAACGAGGATTACTTCAGTATCAAGATTTCAGAGGACATCGGAAAGAACACTCCTCTACCAGGTCATTAAGCTTATTGAAAATCGTGTTTACTTTATAAAATTAAATATTAAGTTGGGACAAAAGTTTGTAGCGTTACTTCATTTGTATTATGTCTATATGATTTTTTTTTTAATTTGGCAATTGTATCATTCGATAGAGCCAAATTTCAGCTTTAAGAATCTGTTCTTCAAAGTGCGATATAATAATTTTTAACGGAATTATAAGCAATTAAAATCTTAATGCTCTTTTTATTTTATGTTTCCGTTCTTTTTCTGTAAGCAATTATAAAATGATAATTTTTTAATTATGTTGTTGTAAGTGAGAGATAGAGACTGAATCTTTTTATTAATTATTTATGGAACAAGAAAAGTGATAGAAGTAAAATTAAATATTTTTCTTTATTTTCTCTCTCTCTCTCTCTCTCTCTCTCTCTCCTCTCTCTTTTTATTTTTGTTTTGCATTTGAAAAGATTCTCGTGTTTGATGACATCGTGTTTACACAGGTCTAAATATGATTGTGAGCGATGGCGACGTGGGTGACAACGCGAAATATTTTCTGGCGTTGCGAGACGTACCTCGATATCCTGGAATTAGCAAAGCATTCACTGTCAGTCCTGAAGAAGCTCAGGGTAGAGTACCGGTGGTAATTAAAGCCAAAGATGTCAATGTTCTCGATTACGATGTTGATGATCCCACAAAGAGAGAAATTGAGTTTGACGTCATTGCGACTGTAGCGAGTGAAGTGGTTAGTCTTCTCTACTATTTAATTTAATTGTGAAAAATTAGTAACTAGTCAATCAACTTAGTTGACTTTATTTATATAAGCGGTCCTGTTCTAATCTTATATTGATTTTTATTATTGGAATTTTTAATATGAATTATTTGTTAATATGAATTATTTGTTTATTGTGACAGGTGGCAACCTGTAGAGTGCATATCCAGCTGTTAGACGCCAACGATCACAGCCCCGAATTCTCTCAATCGATGTATAAACTATCGATCCTGGAAGACGCAGAACCCGGCACTCGCTTTGGCGATGTTTATGCAAAGGATTACGACAGCGGCTCTTTCGGCAAGCTAACATATACTCTGCGTGGTTTCGGCGCAGACAAGTTCAAGACCGATTCGCAAAAGGGTGGGATATTTGTGGCGAATAAATTGGACTATGAAGCACAAAAATCTTATTCCTTGACGATGGAGGCGACGGACGGTGGCGGCCGAGTGTCCGCTGTTAATATTCTCATTGAACTTGACGATGTTAATGATAATAAACCAACGTTCGAACAGCCGGAATATTCCAGGACCGTTCGCGAAGGTGCTACCAGCTTTGATCCGCAAATGTTTGTCAGGGCGACCGACATCGACGGACCAATGCAAGGCAATGGAAAAGTCGTGTATTCGATTAGCCGGCATAATAGTGTGACAGACGACGTCTTCAAGGTTTGTCATTGAAGTGTTTTTATAATTTTTATCAGATCGATTACTGATTTATTAATTTTTAAACTTAAAAATAAAAACCTAAGTGTTTTTAAAGTAAAATTTAATATTACACAATTAACGTTGTATAATTATACTGTTATTTAATAATTCGTTTTGTGATAAATGTTAATGTTTTCGTTAATAAATATATTTTATTTTATTTCAACTTATAGAAATTAATACTAATTTATAAGATTTAAAATAATGTGTGTATAATTCCTAAATCTTTCTCTTGTAATAAAATTTAGTATTATTTTATGATGTACATTTTAAATATTGGTTTTTCAATGAATTTTACAGATTAATCCAGACTCAGGAGAAATAACCATGTCGAAACCGGTTCGTTCTGGAGACACTGAAAGGGGCATTTATGAATTAATCATTCGTGCGACTGATACTGGCATACCACCACTATATTCCGACGCAAAGCTTTTAGTTCGCGTCGGTGTTCCGGGAAATCAAAAACCTATTTTCCGAGGAAACTATAAATCGAATTTACCAGGACCCAGTACTTATCGGGCGAGACTTTTAGAAAACGCATCTCCAGGAACAGAAGTAATTCGGGTGGTCGCCAATGATCCCGACGGAAGAGACAACTTGCTTCAGTATTACATCGCGTCCGGTTCTAAGGATAATTTTGTTATTGATTCCAGGTGCAATATAAAATTTACTAGATAATGAGCAATGTTAGAATGTATAGCCTTTCTCTTACTATCTTTTTGTCTTGTTTTTATTTTAATTATTTTATTTCACTATTTTAATTGAAAAAATTCGGTAGTTAGCAAAATTTGATAGTAAAATTAATAAGAGTCACTGATTATAGTTCTGGTATCATAACTGTGTCACCTGACGCTCGCTTGGATCTGGAGACTGGTGGTGAAAAATACGAGGTGATTGTGTACGCTGTTGATTCAGGTACACCTGTCAAGGAGACAGCTACCACTACCGTCACAGTGAACATTATAGATGTAAATAATAAGTCACCAACATTTAATGAATCAACGTACATAGTTCATGTCTCGGAACGCGCAGCCATTGGTATGTTGCCAATAAACAGTCACCAATTAATAATTAGCTTTGTATTTAACTCTTATTAAACAAGTCGTCTTTAAAATAAAAAATAAAGAAATTCTAAATTCTAGATGAATAAGGAACTTTAGATTTTTTTTTGTACTTGGCAGCCACACTGAGAAAATCTAGTAACAATAATAATTTATCATAAATAGGTGAACTCGTATTGAAAGCGGTAGCGAATGATCCTGACGCAGACGCATATCTGGAATATTCTCTAGTGGAACCAATAAAAGCTGTCGACAAGACCGGTGTGGCTTTGAAAAATACTGCTTCTTATGATTACAAAACAGCATTTCGAATAAATTCCACGACCGGTGCAATAACCGTTAACCGAGTGCTAGATTATCAAGTGGCCGCTGTCGTAATACTAACAGTGCAGGCAAAAGATTTAAACGCTGTCGTTGACAGGGACGGACAGATAGCGAAAGTAGAAGTGATAATTTACATCCAAGCTTACAGCGACGATAATCCGACGTTTACCAATTCTGGATGGTCACCAAACAATCCAACGATAAAGATCACTGTTCCGGAAGAACAACCCCTGGGTACGACGTTGTTGATGCTGTCGGCGAAAGAGCCAACGACGGGATATCTGGTACAGAGGTTTGAATTGGTGAGAGAGGACGATGACGAAGGCTACGTTAATGTGGGTGTTCAGAGCGGCAATGTAGTGCTGAGTAAGAGACTAGATTACGAAGTGCTGAATCAGAAGGTAGGAGTTTACACTTTTGAGATTGCATAATTTTATCAAATAGAAATCGTATAAGTTTTAAGAGAGAGAGAGAGAGAGAGAGAGAGAGAGAGAGAGAGAGAGTGACTTTGTAATAAAAAGAAATTCGGAGAATTTAGAATAATAAAATCAAGATTATTATAATTGTTATGATAATCTTAATATTTCTGATCTAAAGATACTTGATTATTTATATTAATAATATTAACAAATAGTTTAAATAAATTATATTCTCTCTTTTTTAACATAAGATGTAAAATTTTAAATATGTTTCAGTTTATTCGCTTTAAAGTACGAGCACTTGCTAGAGATTATGATATAACGCGAAAAATGTCGGAGGCCAACGTAATCGTCGAAATTCACGATATCAACGACAATATTCCTGTTTTTGGGCAGAAGGATTATAAAATCTCTGTCTTGGAATCAGCTAAACCCTCGAAAATTGTGTTGAATGTACAGGCATTGGATATGGATAGCTCTAAAACTGAACAGGAAGTCCAAAGAGGATATGGCGAAGTGAGATACTCCTTGACGGGAGAAAATGCTAATCTCTTTGAAGTGGACCCCATAATGGGCAACATCCAGGTAAAACTTTCCTAATAATTTTTAATAATATATGTCTTAATTTATATTCTAATATATAAAAATATTACTTGATCAAAATATTAGCCTGAAAATATTTGAAAAATTCAATTCTTTAAAAACTAATGTAAATTTTAAACGTTAAATCTAAAGGATATTAAAAAATTTTTTTTTTACATATTTTTTAGGTTTAGTGTTTACAATTTAGTGTTTAAAACTGATCAAATTAATTTGTGAAAATTATGTAATTCTTATAGTTTTATTAGAATAAATAATGAAACAAATAACTTTTAGATCGCCGCAAACACGACTCTCGACAGAGAAAAACAATCGGTGTTGCGTTTTTATGTCGTGGCATCAGACATGCCCCAAGGTGGTGCTGAGCAACGGAGTAGTCGAGTCTTAGTGACGATCGACGTTCTCGATGTTAACGATAACACTCCTAGCTTCGAACAGGAATCTTATACCGCGGTTATTCCGGAGAATGCACCTGTGGGAATCAGTGTGGTGAACATCACGGCTACCGACCCGGATGAAGACGAAGGCGGGTCGATCAACTTTGAGATTATCGACGAAGGTGAAGCTAATGGTAAGATCGAAGTGTTATTGTTAATTACAATATTAGTTTTTCGAGATATAAACAGTGTCATGTAATTTAAAATTAGTGTTACTTTAAAAGTTTAAATAACTGTGAAGAAGAATTGAATATTTGTGACTACAGTTGCATAGTAAAATAATTATAATTAGAATAAAATAATTATATTAGTTTTATTTTTATAGTTATTGTTAATGTTATATTATTAATAATAATATTGTAGTTATATTTATAAAAAAATATATAGTTCACCAAAAATTGCACTATAAATTGTAATTAAATTATGGCAACTGCAACATTATTTTCTCTTAGTTTCAAATAAAATCTAATTTCCTTTTTATAGCAAAATAAATTAAATAACATTGTTTATGTATAAAGCAAAATTAATTGTGCAATTGACGTTTTTAGGATTGTTTAAAATAAATCACACGACGGGCGAGATATATTCGGCGCGAGCATTGACTGGCAAAGGCAGGACCGAACCGTACAATATGCGAGTGCGAGCGCAGGACAATGGCGAGCCAGCTTTGTATTCGGATGTGAATCTTATCTTGTACATTGGTGACGTAGTGAGCAACGACGGCGTGCCACTGTTCATCAGGCCGACGTTGGAGGAGGTAGCCTACATCGCGGAGAACTCTACCGTTGGTAGTCCGGTGTTCCAAGTGGTAGCATCCGATCCAGACGACCCGAATTTGCCAAATGGCAGAATCACCTTCCGTTTTCTGGAGGACGGTAATTTTGGCAAAGATGCGAGTGCCTTCAGGATTAACAGCGATACCGGATTGATTAGTACACGCAAGTTACTTGATAGAGAGACCAAAGACAGCTATACGCTGATCTTGGTAGCACAGGACCTTGGCGAGCCGCCGCAGCAGGCAACCAGGGTTCTCCAAGTGATCGTGAATGATATCGATGATCACAAACCGCACTTCAAACGCAGTCTAGACAGTCCGCCGATCGAGCTGAACGTTCTGGAAGAAATGCCGGTAGGTTCCAAAGTCGGCGTGATCGAAGCGGTCGATGAAGATATTAATGAAAATGGGATGATCGGTTACGAGATTGTATATGGGAACGAGGCAGGGCTGTTTGTTGTGCAGCGTCTGGAAAATAATTCCGCGGTCATCAAATCGAACGGTCGTCTCGACCGGGAAACTGCCGAGTTTCACTTACTGACCGTGAAGTGTTTTAAGTATTCTTCTAAGAAGTCGGACATAGTGCCGAAACCATACAACAAGCAGGATCCTTCGGAGAGACAGATACTTATCAAGGTCCTGGATATCGATGATAATAAACCGCACTTCAAGAAGGATAACATAACCCTGGGGGTTCGTTTGAATGTGCCAATCGATACCAGTTTGATCACATTGGAGGCTTATGACGCTGATTCCAGCGCGTTACCTATCAACTACAACATGAGTAGAGTATCTTTCACGTCTCTAGTTGATTCTTCCATGTCACAGAAGGAGATACCGTCGCAACTGTCTTTGAATGCGCGCACCGGCGAGCTCAGGACGACAGGCTCCATGGCGGGATACGCGGACGGTTTCATGGAGATGATCATGTCAGCGAATAACTCATTGATGCCAGGAGGCGAGACTAACATCACTGTGAGGATCTTTCTGTTGCGCGATCGCGACATGCTGAAGTTTGTATTCTCGAAGCCGCCAGTTGAAGTTAGAAAGACGTTGGAAGACTTCGAGAAGGCGGTTCAACAGGCTCTTTCACTGCCAATCAGTGTCAACGTCTACGATACGCAGTTTTATTCGAAAGAAGACAACTCTCTGGACTTTTCGTCGACCAGCTCGTGCTTTCAGATGGTCGGCAAGGAGTCTTACGATTTGGACGAGATGCGATCGTTGTTGACTGATCCGAGGAATAAAGAGTTGAAGAAAGTATATAGAGCATATCATGTGGAGAAGGTGCAGCATTGTGCCGCCGTGGTAGCCCGCGCTGATGCCTCCATGACGCAGATTTGGGTTCTAGCTATTGCAGTCCTCGTCGGAATCGCTACAATCATTTCCAGTTGTGCACTATGTTGCATGCATGCCAAGTAAGTGACAATCTGTTAGTCACATTGCTAATAGTTAGTAGTTTATGTATATAATCACCATAATATATGATTTACCTAACTTCGAGACTTTTTTAAATTTTTTGTTAAATCCAAATATTATCATTTCATCATTATAAGCAACAATTATTTACTATTATAAGCAATAATTAATTTTTATTTTCTTATTATTTCACTGACAAATAAAACGTCGGATCAAAAAAATTGAGTTATTTCTTTTTCAGATATAAACGGCAAGTGAAACACGCGCGTTTGCGCGATCAACCGCGACCACCTCTCAGTTATGTCTCTTCCGGACCAGCTATGGTCAGTTCTGGATCGCATACAACTTTGGGACCTGGTACGATGGTCACGTTGGGTCCACATGAAGGCCCATACGAATGGGGAGTCGACACAACTCTTTACCATCCAAGTACGCTGGGTTCGAGAACGTAAAGATTCAGGGCAATATTAGAGAATGTCTCTATAAATTATATAAATTTTTTCTTAGACGAAATATATTTAGAAGTTGCAAACAAAAACTCAATTATTAAACAAAAGCCAGTTTTGTAACAATATTTGTAAAATTATAACGTTTCTAAAATTAATTAAAATTTTATTTTAATTGAAGTCATGTTAATATTTAATATCTAAAAAGTAATGTATATATATAAAATTGTTAAGAAAAAATTAATTAAAAATGTTTTCTGAAAAAACGATTTCTGATAAAATTTTTTTAAATGCAACTTTTTTTAACGTAATCTCAGCAGATTTTATAGGTGTAATAATAATAAAGTGAAATATAGTGAAAAAGGTGTACCGCAAGTTACAGAACTATTAGACAATATGTAATTTATGAACTTGCAAAGAAAGAAGAGTTCGCTGGTGCTATATTCATAATGTAAAAAGTATTGTACGATTTAAGACGCGCCCATATAATGAAGTATATGGTTTGTAAAATTCGACAATGTGTTATCTTTAGGTAATTTTAAGATTAGAATAATAGTATAGAATTACAAGTCTAATATATAAGTAAAATATATAACTATAAATTCTCGACAAAGAAGAGAAAGAGAGAGAGAGAGAGAATTGTATATTTTATTTATACTGTACTTGTGATATTGTTAAGAAGCTACAAATGCGTTTTTTTGTGTGTTGTAATATAATGTAACATTATATATATTCGTATTTAAGATAAAAGGAAATTGTACATTTTATAGTCGACAATATATACGTTTTCAAGTTTGTATAAATTAGTTTTATTATTTATTTAAATGTTTAATACGATAACTATCTATTTATATTTGTGACAAATAATTTATAAACATGTTATAAATTTTTTCAAATTATACACAATGCATACAATAGAATCAATTTTTATATATTAAAAGTTGCAATTGTCTATTAGAGAATTGTTCGAAATAATAAAAATTTACACTATCAAAAAATTTTTCTATAAAATTTTAGCAAAGGAAAAATTGTCTTAGAATTAAGTCAGGAATATGACACTTTAAGGATAAATGTTTATTCTGAATCACCCTATATATACAATATAATTTCTTGATTAATAGTTTTCTTTAGTTGTTTTGCTATTCTCATTTTCTAAATGTACATTATATTCAACGTCACAGTGGTCTGTGAAGCAATCCTCTGGTAAGCGACGAATATCTCTCTGAAGATCACGAAAGATTTCCGAATGCCTTTGATGAAAATGTCAAGGCAAGGAAGCAAGCTTGGCTGAATTTAAGCAGATTATAAACATGATATTTAAATGCTTGTCTGATATGAAAAGCACATTGATCGTTCTTTTTATCAAAAATGCTTGGCATATAATAGAAACGATCAGTCACTTCGCGCACCGGTGATTAATGAAAGTTTGTTGAGCGATTATTGAATCCTCCATAGTTGAAATCTCCATATTTCCTTGTCGAGATACATGCTATAGCTTCATTATGAGTTGGCAATTTTTTATTATATTTTTTTTGTATTTAATATATATAAAAATTACTATTTAAATGTTAAGAAATAAAATTTTTATATATCATTATTTTTTATTTTACTTAAAGTAAGTAAAATTCTAAATTCAAATTCTTGAAATTGTCAAATCAAATCAAAAATTAAAATTCAAAAACGAGATCCAATAAGAATTAAAACATTAATTAACTTGTGTTAAAACGTTTCAAATTAGTTAAACTTTTCGACTGGAATAAATTAAAAGATTTTATTTAATATAATAAAAATAGGACTACGAGCCAAGCAAGGTCTTAATGCTTAAGTTATCAAAAAATATTTATTTTAATAAACGTTTCGTTTTGACTCTAATTGGGTTATTTTCATTGGAAAGTTGCGATTAAAAAAAGCACAATAGAAGAACTACAAAAATATATTTCAAAACGAAGTACAATAACAATTACATTAGACATAAACATATGGTCGGTGATTCAAGTGAGATAACGACATGATGTAAAATTTATCGTTTATATGACATTAAAATGTCTAGCACATCGAATTATTAAGAGATATTTAATAATCTTTTCTCACGAATCACGTCTTTAGTAACTATATTTTTAATTTCAACGTAAGAGACTAAAACGTCGAGAATCTTTAACGATATCAATATCCTTTAAAAGATCGATGCTTTTGTTTGTGTTGGCTTTCGGTCTATCAATCATCGTTGCGTTGTCGCAATTCGCACAATCTTTCTCTGTAGTCTCGATCAATTTTTGCGCATTAATTTCATGATTCTCCGTGCTGACATAATCTTCGTCGATGCTTAGTTTATGATTGAGAGGTACGATAGAATCTCCTACGATACCATCACTGTTAACCAAATCTGAATAAATTTCTGAATCATTATCCGGTACAAGACCTCCATCTCTCTCGTTTTTTTCGTCTAAATTCATCTCGTGATACCGCGATATTGGAAGACTGGCTATATCTAAATTTTTATTCTCTATGAACTTCGACTCCTCCATCGCGGAATGATCAGTCAAATGTTTGGTGATCGATTCTAAAGGAGACATTATCTTCTTCGCAAATTCTTGCCGCTCCTCAGGTTCCATCGATTCTGATTTGTGTATGATATCATTCCTAGAAGACAAATTAAAAATATTAAATACAATTACATTTTCTACGAAGACATCGAGTATTTTCAATTTCTCTGCGATAAATATGAGAGTGAAGCAATTATTTTAAATTAGAATTTGCAAGACAAACTTTAAGTTTGTTCTGTAAGTAAAGATTTTTTTCAGAATTTTTAAATATAATTTTCAGAATTTTTATATCAATTTTAGAATTTTTTTATATTTAAATAATTTTATAACTTTTTAGAAAATTTCTCACATTTTTTATACAAATTGGT